ATATAAGGAAGCAGAAAACACCCAATCAGAACAACAAAAAGAAAAAAGAATCCAAAAAGATGAGGATAGTATAAGGAGCCTGTGGGACAACTTCAAGCGTACTAACATTTACATCATGGGAGTGCCAGAAGGAGAAGAGAGAGGGCAAGAAATTGAAAACCTATTTGAAAAAAACAATGACAGAAAACTTCCCTAACTTGGTGAAGGAAACAGACATACAAGTCCAGGAAGCACAGAGAGTTCCAAACAAGATGAACCCAAAGAGGTCCACACCAAGACATATCATCATCAAAATGCCAAAAGTTAAAGACAAAGAGAGAATCTTAAAAGCAGCAAGAGAAAAGCAGTTAGTTACCCACAACAGAGCTCCCATAAGGCTGTCAGCCAATTTCTCAAAAGAAACATTGCAGGCCAGGAGGAAGTGGCAAGAAATATTTAAAGTGATGAAAAGCAAGGACCTACAACCAAGATTACGCTATCCTGCAAAGCTATCATTTAGAATAGATGGACATACAAAGAGTTTCCCAGACAAGAAAAAGCTAAAGGAGTTCATCACCACCAAACCAGTATTATATGAAATGTTGATGGGTCTTCTTGACCCATCACACAAAAATACGAACAATAAAATGGCAATAACTACATATCTATCAACAATTCAATCTACAAACAAAATGAGCAAGCAGAACAGAAACAGACTCATAGATACAGAGAACTCTTTGTTGGTTGCCAGATGGGAGGGGGGTAGGGTGGAATGGGTAAAAAAGATGCAGGGATTAAGAAGTACAAATTGGTTGTTAGACTGACTAACCTCAAATGAAAAGGGGAAGGGGGCGGGAAGAGATAAACCAAAAAACTTATATGCATATAACCAACAGACACAGACAACAGTGTGGGGAAAGCAGGAGGGGGGTGGGACCGGGGAGGAGGGGGTCAAGGGGCAGGGGAAGAGGGACGTCTGTAATACATTCAACAATAAAGATAAGTTTAAAAACATAAAAAAATAAAGTGTTTTGAAGGTTGACAAAAAAAGAATGCAAATTAAAACTATACTGAGAACACTGACTAGGAAGGCTATAATAAAAACGACAGGAAATAACAAGTGTTAGTGAGGATGTACAGAGATTGGAAGCCTCATACACTGCTGGTGGGAATGTAAAATGTTGCAGGCATTTTGCAAGACAGTCTGGCAGTTCCTCAAAAGATTAAACATAGAGTTACTATATGACCAGCCATCCTGCTCCTAGGTAGCTACCAAAGAAACATGAAAACATACATCCACACAAAAACTTGTACATGAATGTTCATGGCAGCATTATTCATAATAGCCCCAAATGGAAACAACCCAAATGTCTACCACCTGATTCATGGATAAATGAAATGTGGTGTATACACATAGTGGAATAGTATTCTACCATCAAAGGGAATGAAGTACTAATACATGCTACAATATGGATGAACCTTGAAAACATGCTAAGTGAAAAAAGCCAGACACAAAATGTCACACTGTATGATTTCATTCATAGGAAATGTCCAGAAGAAGCAACTCCTTAGAGTCAGGAAGTAGTTTAGAGGTTAACAGGGGCTTAGCAGAGGGGAGAACAAGAAATGACTACTATTGGGTACAAAGTTTCTTTTGAGGGTGATAAAAAAAAAAGTCCTAGAATTGATTGCAGTGATGGTTGCACAGCTCTGTGAAAATATTAAGAACCACTGAATTGTATACTTTAAATGTGCCAACTGTATGGTATGTGAATTATACCTTGCCACAGCTGTTATTTTAAAAAACTATAGTGAGCCCGGCTGGTGTGGCTCAGTGGTTGAGCATTGATCCATGCACCAAGAGGTCGTCAGTTCAATTCCCAGTCAGGGCACATGCCCAGGTTGTGGGCCTGATCCCCAGCGGGGGGCATGCAGCAGGTGGCTAATTGATGTTCTTTCTCATCAATGTTTCTATCTCTCTCTCCCTCTCCCTTCCTCTCTCTTTAAAATCAATAAAGAAAAAATTTTTAAAAAAAAACTATAGTGAGCCCTGGCTGGTTTGGCTCAGCGGTTAGAGCATCAGCCCATGGACCAAAGACTCACAGGTTCGATTACGGTCAAGGGCACGTACCTCAGTTGCGATTTGTCCCTGGCCCTGGTCAGGGTCATGCGAGAGGCAACCAGTCAATGTGTTTCTCTCACATTGATGTTTCTGTCTCTTTCTGTCTCTCTCTCTTTCTCCCACTCCTACTCTATCTGAAGATATTTGAAAAAATATCCTCAGGTTAGGATTAAATAAATAAATAAAATAATTTAAAAACTATAGGGAGATACCATTTCTTATCTATCAGATTAACAAACTATCTAGGTATAAAAAAAGAGATGTGGAAGATCTCTATGAGATGTAATGGGGTGGTTTCCAGGATATATTATAAAGCGAAAAAGGGTACAGTCTATAAACTATAAGGTGTGTGTGTGTGTGTGTATGCTATAATTACATAAACTATTTGTGTAAGAAAAGGGAAATGAGTAAAAATGCATACATCTTCTTAATTTTGCAAAAGGAAACACAGGAAAGATGAACCAGACAACAGTGAAGTTAACTGCCTATAAAGTGTGTGTGTTGGGGGAGGAAGGTGGACAGCACGGAGTACATCCCGGGGAAAGGCCATTGCAATGATGTATCTTCTCATGTAATTTAATACCAAAAGGTCAAAGGAGGCAGCTTCAAGGGGCTCCTACTGTCCAAATATGGGCCAACTGGAACAAGAAAATTAAGATGGCAGTAAAGGATTATAACTCAATGAATAAAATAGGAATCTATGAGACCATATTACTAATAAATAGGTAAGTATATCAATGGGGGGAGAAGGGAGGTTCTTCCTTACAGCAATGCTGACTGACATATATATGGAAGGACTGGTAGAAATGCAAAATTGTCACTTTGTATCCATCACAGTAAATATTGATTTGGACATGAGTCATCAATGATGCTAAATCTACACGAGAGAAAATGTGATAAGGAGCAGGATATTTACATAGTCTTAAAGTACCTACCTACTGGTCATGTAGTAGCTGCAACAGGCCGAGTTATAACTCAAGAGTAGAGAAACTGGACAATGTCTCAACTAGGTGATCCAAATACACATTACCAAAGAGGGACAGAGAGACGTATCCTTCTGGATAGGATCCTCAGAGAAGAGCACAGATCACTTTTGAGAGTATTTTAGCTGAGAAATATAACCTGAATCTAATTGTGAGGAAACATCAGGCAAGCTCCCACTGAGGAATGCTGTATGCTGTATAAAATAATGGGCCTGTACTCTTCAAAAATGTCAATGTCGCCATGGCCGGTTTGGCTCAGCGGTTCAGCGGTTAGAGCGTTGGCCTGCGGACCAGAGAGACCCGGGTTCGGTTCCCGCTAAGGGCACGTACCTCGGTTGCAGTTTGTCCCCGGCCTCGGTTGGGGTCATGTGGGTGGCAGCCAGTTGATATGTCTCTCCCACATCGATGTTTCCCCCTCTTTCTTCCTCCCTCTCTCCCTCCCGCTCTGAAGACAAATGCAAAAAAAAAAAAGGGCCTCAGGTGAGGATTAAAGAAAAAGTCAATGTCATGAAAAACAAAGGAAAGCTGAGCAACTGTTCCAGATGAGACTATAAAAGCATACTGGACTGGAACCTGTACTGAGGCGGAAAAAATGATATAAAGGATATTATTGGGACAACTGACAAAACTGAAATATAGACTATAATTATATAAAGTATTATATACAATGTTATAACACTGATAACTGTACTGTTGGTTACATCAGAGAATATCTTTGTTTTAGGAAAATACACACTAAAGTATTAAGCAGTAAAGTAGAAAAATGTTTACAACCTACTCTCAAATGGTTCAGATAAAATAAACAGTAATATGTGTGTGTATATATCATGTGTACACACACACACACACACACACACACGCCCCTTGGAAATACTGAGTTTGGTTCCAGAGCACTACAATAAAACGAATATTGTAATAAAGCGAGTCACACAAATTTTTTGGTTTCCCAGTGCATATAAAAGTTATGTTTACACTACATTCTAGTCTATTAAGTGTGCGGTACCATTATGTCTAAAAAAACAATGTACGTACCTTAATTAAATACTTTATTGCTAAAAAATGCTAACCATCACCTGAGCCTTCAGCGAGTTAGAATCTTTTTGCTGGAGGAGGGTCTTACTTTCAATTTGTAAAAAATGCAGTGTCTGTGACGTGCAGTACAGCAAAGTGCCATAAAACAAGGTGCAAATGACATAAATATAGATATACATATATTGCATATATAGACATATGCTTACAAATCTATAGAGAATAAAACAAACATGGGACCGTTTCAAATGGGTTGCAGTGGTTTGTACTGTGTCAGCGGGGCTGAGCAGGAATCTCATTTCCCAGAATCCCCTTCCCCACATGGTTCAGGTAAGAGCTGGCTCAGAGATTTGGCACATGGAAGTAAAATACAATTCTCAGAAGACAGCTGGCGTTAAATGCAGTGGAAGACAAACAGACACAGAGGTGTTGTCAGATTCCAGTTCTTCCCGACTGACCGATTCTTCTGGACTGACTGCTGGTCTAGTGTCCCCTCCCCCTTGGCCCATCACCAGATTCTTGGCTGCAGGCATTTCAAAGGCAACAGTCACCAGGCCCCACCCCACCTCTTTTGGGCCCCAGGTCCCACTCTGGCAGCTGAATGGGCCTGGCTCCTCAAATTGACATGTTGGTGACTCTTGTCATCCTCCAGCTCCCCTTTCACACACGGTCACCTCCCTGGCCCCTTCCACAGCTCTGTTCCCTCTAGTCCCTATGACAAAGTAGCCCTACTTCCCGACAGACCCTGACACTGGTGAATCTGAGTAGACGATATATATGAGAGTTCTCTGTATTCTTGCAACTTTGTTTGCAAGTGTGAAATAGTTTCAAAACAAAGTGTTAAAAAGACAAAGTTCTGGTGGGTAGTGGCGAACCGAGAGAACTCCATGAAGGCTTCGGGCACGCTTCGAGAGTACAAGGTGGTGGGGCGCTGCCTAGCCACCCCCAAGTGGCGCACACCACCCCTCTACCGCATGCGCATCTTTGCACCTCACCATGCTGTTGCCAAGTCCCGCTTCCGGTACTTTGTGTCTCAACTGAAGATGATGAAGAAGTCTTCAGGGGAAATCGTCTACTGTGGGCAGGTGATCGAAAAATCCCCCCTTCGGGTGAAGAACTTCTGCATCTGGCTGCGCTATGACTCGCGCAGTGGCACCCACAACATGTACCGGGAGTATCGGGACCTGACCACCGCGGGCGCCGTCACCCAGGGTTACCGAGACATGGGCACCCGGCACCGTGCCCGCGCCCACTCGACCCAGATCATGAAGGTGGAAGAGACTGCAGACGGCGAGTGCCGCCGACAGGCAGTCAAGCGGTTCCCTGACTCCAAGATCAAGTTCCCGCTGCCCCACCGGGTTCTTTGTCGCCAGCACAAGCCACGCTTCACCACCAAGAGGCCCAACACCTTCTTTTAGACACCGCCCCCCCCCCATCCCCTGGTCTGCCCAAATAAACTCCTTGGGAAAAAAAAGATAAAGTTCTATTTTATATTTGTTTCTGTGATTTAAAATATTGGATGATCTTCTCACTAAAAGGTTTTTTTTTTTTTTTAAAGTGTTTTTTTTCCCCTGGTACAAAAACTAAGTATATGGCGTCGGCACTAACCTATTTCCTACGACAGGACCCCGGCCAATGAGGCCCTGGCAGGAGCGTGGGTGGAGGAAGGCTTTGCAGCCTTCAGCTTGTTTCACCATTGACCTGATCTGAGGACACAGGAATAAGACTGAGAGGAACCAAAAGATTGGGAGGAAGCAGCGGATCACTGGGGGCTGGACCCAACTGATCCCTTCCTGCCACCTGATTGCACTGAGGTACCCAGACCAGACTATGACACAAGGGGCGTTTTACTACTAGAGAAACTGAGGTACCACATATTTAACTGACATTCTGGTAGCTACTGGAAGATGCTGGATAACTGACTACCCAGCCTTCAGCCATTGTATTCACATGAGGGGAAAAAAACAACAACAACAGGGCAAGAAGGCAGATGATTAGAATCAGAGCCACAGATGGCTCTAAAATTACTTTCAGCAGCAACTGAAAATAGCAGAGCCAATATATCCGCCTATTGTTTTATTCATCCAGCTTCTCTTGAGGCACTATGCTATTTATTCCCTTTGGTAGAATTTAAGAGCAAATATTCCAAGGAAATCAGCATAGGATGTGGCAAAAAAAAAAAGTCATAAAATACCTAAATCCTAAATGTTCTGTTTTCACAGCCATAATTCAGGAACAGTCTTACGCTCTGTAAATGTTGGTCAGCATTCCAGGGCAACTTTAATGAAATACATTTCTGACTTTTAAACCACAAGACAGAAAATCATTTAAAAAATAAAATGTTGGCTAGAGAATATAGTCAATAATATTGTAATAACTATGTATGGTGCCAGGTGGGTACTGAAAATATCGGGGAAAGTATATGATTGCCAAACACTACGCTGTACACCTGAAACTAATACAAAATAATACTGAATGTAAACTGTAATTGAAAAAAATTTTTTTAAATAAAGCAGCCCTGGCCGGTTTGGCTCAGCGGTTAGAGCGTTGGCCTGCAGACCGAAGGGTATCAGGTTCAATTCCTGGTGAAGCGCACATACCTGGGTTGCAGGTTTGACCTCCAGCCCTGGTTGGGGTCATGCAGGAGGCAACCAATCGATGTGTCTCTCTCACATCAATGTTTCTCTCCCCACCCTCCCCCTGTCCCTCCTTTCTATTCTATCTAAAAATCAATGGAAACATATCCTCAGGTGAGGATGAACAAAAAATAAATAAAAAGCAAACACCGCCCTGGCTGGTTTGGCTCAGCAGTTAGAGCGTCGGCCTGTGGTCCTGAGAGACCCAGGTTCCATTCCCGCTAAGGGCACGTACCTCGGTTGTAGTTTATCCCCGGCCCTGGTTTGGTCGTGTGGGTGGCAGCCACTCGATGTGTCCCTTTCACGTCGATGTTTCTTTCTCTCTCTTCCTCTCTCTCCCTCCCACTCTGTCTGAAGAAAAAAGAAAAAAAGGAAAAATGTCTTCGGGTGAGGATAAAAAATAAATAAATAGCCCTGGCCGGTTTGGCTCAGCGGTTAGAGCGTCGGCCTGCGGTCCTGAGAGACCCGGGTTCGGTTCCCGCTAAGGGCGCGTACCTCGGTTGCAGTTTGTCCCCAGCCCTGGTCGGTTGTGCGGGTGGCAGCCACTCGATGTGTCCCTTTCACATCGATGTTTCTCTCTCTCTCTCTCTGTTCCTCTCTCTCCCTCCCACTCTACCTGAGCAAAAAATGGAAAAATGTCCTCGGGTGAGGATAAAAAAATAAAAAAAAAAAAAAAAAAAAAAAAAATAATAAAAAATAAATAAATAAATAGCAAACACCAAATAAATAAATAATTGCCATCATTAGAGTAAGACTTGGTTCAGTCAAGACTCATCAATGGATGCTAAATCTAGGAGGTTAAATATTAGATGAGGAAATGAGTATTTACATATAGTCTGGCAGTATCTGCCCACAAATTACTTATTAAATACAAAGGGGGAAATGCCGACTTTACAGTAGAGAAACCTGGTGAACACTATCTTAATGGCCCTGGTAACCAGACACACGGCATCATGTGATGATGCACTGTGGACAGAATATCACTTCTGTGGGGTTCTTGCCCCAAATGAGCATCCTGAAGGTAGTCACGAGGAAACATCCAATGAACCCGAATGAAGGGACATTCTATCAAAGAGCTGGCCTGTACTCCTCTAAAGTGTCAATGTCATGAATGCCAAAGGATGGCAAAGGAACTGTTGCAGACTGACACTAAAGAGACATCACGGTTAAATGCAATGTGTGGTCCTGGTCTGGATCCTGGACCAGAGAAACAAAATTATTACACAAAACATTATTGGGACAACTGGCAAAATCTGAATAAGGGTTGTAGATTATGGAATTACACCCAAGTTAAATGTCTTGATTTTGATGGGTGTATTGTAGTAATGTAAAAGAAAGTCCATGAATGTCCACATGCTTAGGAAATCCTGAGGTTCTTAAGAAATACGCTTAGGGCCCTGGCCGGTGTGGCTCAGTTGGTTGAGTGTCATCCCATGCACCAAGAGGCTACCAGTTCAATTCCCAGTCAGGGCACATGCCTGAGGTTTCGGGCTCAATCCCTGGTGGGGGGTGTGAAGGTGTGTGGGAGGCGGCCAATCTATGTTTCTCCTTCATCCATGTTTCTCTCTCTCTCTCCATCTCTAAAATCAATAAAAACATTTTTTTTTTAAAAAAAAAGAGAAATACCGTTAGGGTAGAGAAAACAATAAAGTAAATGTGGCAAAATGTTAACAGTCGGTAAATCTGGGTGAAGGATACATGGAAGTTCTTTTGACATTTCTCGCTTTGTTCTTCTTGTTTTAAACTATTTTCACTTTTCTGTGAGTTTGAAATTATTTCAACATAAAAAGTTTAAAAGAACAATTAAGATGAAAAGATGCACTCTCTATGATCCACTGTATTGAAACTCAATGAAGAAGTCCCATAGGTTCAGGGTCATTAACATCAAGCAGGATTTCACAGGACTTGTGACCCGGACTCTTGGTTAGAAGACAGTGTGTGTGGCACGTTTTCAACAGATTGGGATTCATCTTTGTATTTACTTGTCTTCTCCCATCCTTTTCCTTTGAAAGATGATAGTGAACTTGCCCACCATGTTCATGTTAGTGTTTCTGGGTTGAGTCAAACAGGAGGCCCTGACAGTTTTATGTTGGAGAGGCAGCACAGAGAGCAGAAATGCCATTTCCAATAATAGTAAAAGAAATATTAAAGTAATGATAAACCTTTATCTGTTTAGTCTTCTCTATCAACACAGTGAGAGCCCAGCTGTTGTGGCTCAGTGGTTGAGCGTTGACCCATGCACCAAGAGGTCATGAGGTCACCGGTCTGATTCCCGGTCAGGGCACATGCCCAGGTTGTAGGCCCAATCCCCAGTGGGGGGCATGTAGGAGGCAGCCAATCCATGTTCTCTCTCATCGAAGTTTCTCTCTCTCTCTCCCTCTCCCTCCCTCTCTAAAACAAACAAACAAAAAAAACCCACAGTGATACAGAAGGACTAATTTTTGTTTGTTTTTTTAATCCTCACCCAAGGATATTTTTGCATTTATCTTCAGAGAGAGCGGGAGGGAGAGAGGAAGAAAGAGAGAAAGAGAAACATCGAAGTAAGAGAGACACATCAAGTGGTTGCCACCCACACGACCCCAACTGGGGCCAGGGACAAACTGCAACCAAGGTATGTGCCCTTAGCGGGAACCAAACCCAGGCCTCTCTGGTCCGCTGGTGGATGCTCTAACCACTGAGCAAAACCGGCCAGGGTCAGAAGGACTAATTTACCTTCGAGAAAGGGTAGTCACAGGACAGCATTCCTCACGTTCTCTAATCCCAAAGTTATTCTGTCACTATCTATGCTTCAGCCGTAGAATTCTCCACAGCTTTGCTCATTTCTTACCCTGTATCTCTCTTAAGTCTCCCTTCAAGTGCTGATCAAGTTCCATTACAAAGGTCTTACCCTCTGTTGGGGCCATTTACGGCCACTGTACCATCCAACGAATATCTATCAGGCACAGACCTCATAGAAAGGCTATATTTAGCTGGCATCTACCAGGCTGGAATTAGCCATGAAAGTCATTTACATATTGTCTGTACCTCCATTTCTCTAGCTGTGAAATGCACCTCTGAACAGGCAGATCTTGTCTTGTTCAATTTGGGCCACACCCAGTGAACACATTAGAAAAGCTTGTGGGGCCCTGGCCAGTTTGGCTCAGTGGTTAGAGTGTCGACCCTCAGACCAAAGGGGCGTGGGTTCAATTCCTGGTCAAGGGCACATACTTGGGTTGCAGGTTTGATCCCCGGCCGTGGTCGGAGTCGTGCAGGAGGCAACCAATCGATGTGTCTCTCTCACATCAATGTTTCTCTCTCTCTCTCTCTCCACCCCCCTTCCACTCCATCAAAAATCAATGGAAAAAATGCCCTTGAGTGAGGATTAACAAAAAAAAAAAAAAAAAAAAGAAAAGCTTGTGGGAAGGAATGTTTCATTTGGTGATACTTTCCCTGGCCTACGGGGAACTTACAACACAGTTGAAAGGACAGAAAGATATCAGATGTTAAAGTGACTTGTGCAGAGGACTTACTGAGAAATAGGAAACCTTAATCTTGGTCTACCACGAATTCACTGTGTCATCATGGCAAGTAACATGATCTCTTAAGGCTTCATGCCTTATCTGTAAAATGAGGAGGTCAGATTGGATGATAACAGCTGAAATTCACTGAGCACTTATTGTATACCAAGCCCAAGACTCAGCACTGAACAAGGCTTAACATATTAAAACCTCACAATACTGCTGGGTGGTATGTACCACTATCATCCCCCTTTGACAGATAATCTATGAGATCCTTTCAACTTT